AAAATGATACAATTAAAATATTATGTAATATTATAATTGTAAATTATACATAGTCATGTTTACAAAAGAGAAAAACGGGAATGCATGAATTATCAATCCAAAACATATATAAACAGAAAATTTGTTGCCGGAGAACAAGCTACGGTCGTGTTTTTCCATTATGCGCAGGGAGCTGCAGTTCCGCCGCTAGCTTCACATCCCCGCCATCATCTTTCGGGGTAGATTAATTTGTAATGGCATGCATACAGAATCAGCTGTATCGTTCCAAAAACTGCTCCGAAGCCATTTCCAAACTACACAGATGAAGCAAACATCATTTGCTTTTATCATTAATTACCATAATAATAATTATTCATGTAATGACTTGTGAAATAAATGCATTTAATAGTCGCACTACTAATAATTTTCCAAAAATCATTTTTGCAAATTAAACATAACATAAGATCATCAATTTAAAGAAAAATAAAATGAATCATTAAGATTTTTTTCCAAAAGATAGAGATTGAGACGAATTAGGGCATATACTATCCATACAACTCCATTAAGAAAGTTTGCAAGTAAAAGATAAAATGATATATACTTAACGCTCTTTTTTTTTTTTTTTTATGATAAGCCAAAAAATTTTATTTCTTTGGGTATAAGGGATATCCTAACCTATTTACATTTTTAACAAACAGCAAAAACTATCTCTCCTTTTCCAAACCATTTTATAGAATTTTAAACCCCATATCTTTCCACTTAGAACCTCGCGTCCAGCATGCCTTCTTATTACTAGTTTGGGGTCATCTTTCCATAAATCCTGTTGCAGATTTGGATATAACTTGACCTTTAACCAGTAGAAAGATTTATGCTTAATGAGCTCGCCAACCTCCTCTTCACCATCTTGTTCTTTCCGAAAGACCTTCCGATTCCTCCAAACCCATATAGTCCAGATTGTTTCAACCCAATCACCCTCCATGCTTCCCTAAACTCCTTTTCATGAACAAGCCCCATATGCTGCTCGTAATGTCTTTGAACATCCACTTGTGCTGCTGAAGAAAAACCCTACCGAAATAAATAATATGTCCAATTTTTCCAAGAAAAGAGGCATTTAAACAAAAGATGGGCCAAGGATTCCTCCTCTGTTGAACACCAATTGCACATAATTTCTGTGCTATCCATGATGATTCCTCTTCTATCTAAATTAGTTTTTGTGGGTAATCTATCAAACACGCTCTCCATGCCAGTGCTGCAACTTTTAATGAAGCCATACTCTTCCAAAGACACCTCCCTCAAAGAGAATATCTATTCCCCTTTGCTTTCCCCATACCCTATCACTCCTCCTATACTTGACACCCTTTGCTTTAATCACCTTCCTCAGTCAATAAAAAAAAAAAAAAAAAGGGGGGGGTGGGGGGTCGAATAAGCCAATTGAAATTTAGGGCGACTAAAGTAGATCTCTGCTCATGTGTTTTTCTTACCAGCAATGTGCATTTTCGCTACTATGCCCAAAAATACAAGCTCAACGGTGAACGAACTAATGACTTTGAGCTGCAATTAAGATTTGCACCATAAACAAAAATTGAGATGATTAAGTTCCTAATTTTTAAATTAATAGTTATCACATATAAATTATTAAATAAAAATAATTCATTTTATAACATAAATAATAATTATATGGATTTTTTGAACATATATTCTTATGACAGAAGTTATGAGTATTTTTTTATATCAAATAAACATAAAAATATAAAAATTGATATTCATTTTGATGTTAGATAAATTTAATTAGATAATTAATAAATTAAATATTAATTTTTATTTTTTAATATAAATTTATGATATAAAAATATATTTAATATACGAATTAAATGCAGACAAACCTTCATTATATTGTAAACATGACATCATAATGGTAACATTTTTCTTAATTATGAATATTCTACCCTTTCCTTAATGAAAGTACTAATAAAAAATTTTTTTCTTTGAACTAGAAGTCTCTCCATTTTCATCGAAGAGTCTACACTGCACTGACTGTTTCTCCGACCGCTGCTTCGCCAGTTTTCTCTTCTTCAATGGTCCTCTTTGTGATTTGAACTCCATTTTTGGCATTTCAGTGTCTCTGTTAGTTGTCTGTTTTTACGAAGCTTGTTTAGGGTTTTCTGTTAGACGCTTAGTTAACGTTTTGGATTGTTCGTGGGTTTGGACCATGCTAATTTGATCTGTGTCCTTAATCATGTAAATTTCGATTGATGTAAAAGGTTTCAAGCTGACTTTGGGGGAAATTTTGCATTTTAGAGGGTTAATTTGGGTTATTGTAGTTCGTAGAAACAGTAGTCCTTTGAGGTTTTGGGTCTGGTGAGTTGAGTAGCTGGAGATGGAAAGCTCAGCAAATGGTTGTGAAATATGTTGAAAGAAGTCGTGAAAGTAATTTGGGAGGGGTTATTAAGTGTTGGGACTTGGTTGATTTTGGCAGAGGGAAAATAGTACTATAAGAAGTCCTGGTTTATAAGTTTGAACCACTGTCCATGATCCATGGCTTCAAGTGTGAATGATATAAAATAGTGATTAGTATGAAAAATCTACAAGAAACTGATGCATGTTGCTTTGTTGAAGTTAAGGCCTTCTACCTCTGTCCTTTTTTTGTAGGGTATTGTATGATGCTGTCTAATCTATTTTAATTATGCAATCAATGGTATAAATCATGTTGGTTTGAACTTTTAATTTTGTACTGAGTTTGTTTCGTTGCATTAATGTCGTTGTCCAAGTGTCATTTCTGCCAATAAGGACATCGACAAATTGTACTTGAGCAGAATATGCTATGATTTTTCTTTTTCCCTTTTTGTGTTTCAGAGCTAGTCCTAACAATGATGTTGATCAATGCTCTTAAAGATCTCAATAGTCTACCTGCATCTGAAAGCAAGAATGATGACTCCAGTAGAGGGTGTTTTACAAAACCTTGCAATGGGAACATGAATGAAAATGTTGAAGAGAAGCAGAGGGAGAAGTCTTCTCCCATTCATGTTAATGGAGGTGAAACTGTAAATTCTGGAGTAGAGGTAGCAAATTCAGAAATAGAATTCATTGAATATGAGAACTTGAGTGATCTTGAAGACATTGATACAAGTCTCAAGGTATAACTCCTTGCTTTTCCTTTTTCCTTTTCACTAATATTTGGAAGTAAACTGTTTGCTAATATGGTTAAATTCCATTTCACTAATTATGACATCCACAGACGTTTTCACTGCATTTAATGACCATGTAATTGATTCGTTGGATCCACTGGTACTTCATACTCTCTAAAGTCACTTCTGCCTTTATTTTTGTTGAATGAATATCTCCTCAATAGTGAATAGTGAGTGAACAACTAATATTGTGAATGTATGCCCAAATATCGCCAAATGTAGCTTATACGGGTTTTACTTAAATCTTCACGAGACAAAATGTTTGTTTGTGAGGCAACTGAGAGAGCTTTAGAGGCAATGACTTGGGTTTCCCCTATTGTTTTTGTTGCCAAAGTTGTAACCTTATCTCAAAAACAGAAATCCTTGAATTTGAGCCAAGGAATCAATGTGCTTTTCACGAAGTGTTCTGCAACTGGTAAGAAAAGTATGCTTGATTTGCTCACCGCTACTTCATTTGTTTACTAATCATATGGAGCACTGAAAGAGTTTCTATTGGTTAATGTCTATAACAACATTACTATCTAAGTTTCTTTTCCACATTAGACATTCTTATTGGATGGTCCATTTCCTAATTGTTGTTGATGCAGATCAGATCATAATCTTGTGTCTTGGAGTTTCAATAAGAAAATTAATGTTGCTTATTCAACTAATAATTGAATTCAACAAAGAAGTAACTACAACTGGGACATGGATTTTTGTACATGGCTTCAGCAATATAATATTTTTAGATGTAATCATGTTAGGTTTTTCCTGGCATTATTGATTTGTAAGCCTTAACTTGCTTCCTACTGTAGCTGAATTCATGTTAATTTCATTTTTAAAAGGTGTTGAGGGAATTAAAACATATGGAATTGACAGATTGATCCAAGTAGCTGCATCCCAGCACATTGATCAACATCCTGAGTCCAGGGAGGCTTGCTCAAACCTTTCTTCTGGAGTGTCAAACTGTATACAAGAAATCCTATTGTCTCTTGTCAGCAACAGTACACAAGCATCCAGAGTTGGACTCTTGGAAGCACTTTCGTCAATCTAAACTCTCTCCTTTAAGCGCACAGGCTATGCTTCGGGTCACCAACACCAATGTTGCTTAGGAGGGGCTTGTTGTTAGTTCATGACACAAGTTACTGTTGGGAAAAATGACGTAGCGAAATAAAATAATTCTTGTGAATAAAACACGTGAACCATAACAAAGAACGGTGAAACAGGCGGCTTAGCCGACCAATAGTAACGGTTAGTGAAAAAGGCGGTTTAGCCGACCAAGCAAAATAAAATGGGCAGTTCAACCTGCCACTTAAGAAATATAAATAAAATGGGCGGTTCAACCAACCACTTAAGCGAGAAAATAAACAAGTAAAATAACACCAAATTTTACATGGAAAAACCCCCTAAAAACTATTGAGGGAAAAAACCACGGGACAAACTCCAAAGGGTATTCAACTATATGATAAAATTGTACAGAATATACACTCAAGTATTTTTCTCTCTCTTGGTATTTCCCACTTCCCAAGGATATGGTCACAATCCTGATAAACTCACAATTTTATCACTCAATGTACTCTTTCTATGGAGCACACTCACACCTAAGCTTTTAATGCCTAGCTCTCACTCCCCTTTCTTTCTCCCGAAGCT